CAAAAGTGAAGTTCTTGGTCGCGTCATACTCTACCCATCCAGTGCCATCGGGCGTCTGGAACTCGACGAGCGCCACAGGCGCAGGGCCTGCAGAGCCAGCAATGGTGAACGCCTTGGTTCCGCCACTGGAAACAACCTGAAGATACGCGCCGAAGGTGCCGCTGACAGAAGGGTCGAAAGCGATGCGAACGGTAACAGCAGTATTGGCAGGAATTGTGGCCGGAACGTTGGTGAGGGTGAACTTTCCGACGGTAAGGGTAGCAGTGGCTCTGTCCCAGCTGGTGAAGGGACCCTGTGCGCTGCTGGTAGAGAATTGGACGTCTGTGATGGAGAGGGCCGAGTTACCCTGGTTGGACAAGATGACACTCTCATCGGTTCCACCCGCTTGACCGGCGATGACGCCCTGGAAAGTGATGGTCGGGGGAGTAATGGATAGCAAAGGACCTGAGCTCTCGCCAGTACCAGTGAGTCTGATATGGGTACCTTGGCTGTAACCCTCGGCCGTGTTGGTTGTGTTGACGACGATGTCGGAAGACACCAGACCGACGGTAGTAGGCTTGAAGGACGCGCCGATTGTGAATGTTTGACCGGCAGTCAGAGTGAGAGGCAATGTGGGAAGTCCGGAGAGGGTAAAGTCTTCGGCCTCATCTAGACCGATGTCCGAAACGGTGACGCCAATGACGGCCGTGCAAGTGATCGTGCGTGGGTCGCTCGTGGTTCCAACATCAACGACACCAAATTCGTTGGTAGCAGTGCAGTTGATAGGTGTCGTGACCGGCGAGCCAAAGGCGTACAAGTAGCCAAGGGTGGTACCTTGGTACATGATGCCATCACCAAAAACGGCTCTTGTGAACTTGGTGCTGCCCGGAACGCTGAAAGACTTGATCATGTTTAAGTAGCCATTTTTGGGGACGGCTTCAAAGATCTTGAGCTGAGAGCCCTGTACATCCAAAGTCCAGAGAAGACCGGTGCCAGCTTGGCCGTTGAGAGTGGTGACAGTGCCGTGACTGACACCAAGGATGTAGGCGTTGTTCTGAGGGCTGTCGGCCACCTTGGTGAAAGAGGGGACTCCGGCCTCACAGGAGAACTTGAAAACGTGGGTAGGGTATTGAATGACTATTCTTGTTAGTGGCTCTGTTTGAATACACGAATGCTATGTGAGGTGGAAGGGGGCTTTTGCTTACCATTGATGTAGATGTAGCCACCCTCGCCTGGGTACACACCCGCACCGGCGTACACCGAGTTCTCGTTCTGGTACACCTGAATCACGTTATCAAGGCCATTGGCACCGTTGCGGTAGCCACCCAAGTCGTCCAAGTTGAGCCAGTACGTCTTGCCACTCTTTCCAGTCACCACACCAATGCGCTTGACGTCGCCGCAGGAGAATGTGCTGGGCAGAATCTGGAGGGGACTCGTTCCCAAGTCCTTGTCGGCGCCGTCCAAAGCTTGCTTCTCCCATGGCATAAAGAAATCGACCAAGCTCAAACTTCCATCGGCGTTGATTGTCATGTGCACAGCGGCTTCTTCCAGAGATGTCGGAGGCGTGCGGCCGTTGACGGGAATGGTGCTGAGCTGGGAGGCGTATCCGTTACCAGTAGCGTAGAACAAGGAACCTGCGTCGTCGGAAGCGAGACCGCCACCAGACATCCAGACACCACCGCCCTTGACATCCACGGGGACACCGTCACCTTCGGTAGCGAAACGCTCGACGTTGGCACCGCTAGTCTTGTCGAATCCCATGATCCAACCTGTGAAGTTGTATTGGACACAATGAGAAGCAAAGCCAGCATAGATGTAGTTGCCGACGTGCAACAGAGCAGGTCGCTGATGATGGATACCGCCATTGAAAGAGCGGATAGGGTTATTCCTCGCTACGGTGCCTTCGAGGTTGACGGGGAAGTTGGGCTTCTCGCTAAGGTCGTTGACATCCAGGGCATGGAGATAGTAACGGCCGGCGGGTTTTCCTTGAGCAACGCCGGTCAAGGTCTGGTCGACGTACGTCTTGGTGGTGAGGTAGAGGGTGTTGGTCGAGGCATCAATTACACCAGTGGAGGTGACTCCGACGTGAGGTTCGATATCATAGCAGCCATCCAGATCGGCAGACAAGAAGGGAATGGCGAGACTGCGGGAAGCGATGATGCTGCCCGTCTTTGCATTAATTTTGTAGACATTATTTTGTGTAGTCGCGACGTAGACGTATTGCGTGCTGTCGCCGTCGGGCGTGTAAACGAGTGGCTGAGAAAAGATCTGCTCTGCGACGCCGCCATATTTACCGGGCAGAGGTGTGCGGAAGAGCTGGCCGAACTGGGAGCTCCCCACGACGGAGGGGTCCATGTTGTGGTTTCTTCATGATGGGACGTCGCGTTAGATCTGTTTTCTTGGTTTTCATGACTGGCCTCGCTCTTCCCCCACCGAGCGGATCGCCGGAGGAGACGATCGACGCCGGGGAGAGAATGTGTACGGGGAGATATGGGGATGGAGGGAATGGATCTTGAACTTACGTTTGGTACCCGGCTCTCGAATTGTCGCCTCCCCAGGTGATGGTGTCTGTTGAGGCCAGGCCATTGGCAAGGCCAATGAGGGCCGTCATCACCCACGTCTTGAAAGCCATGATGAGTGGCTTGTGACCTTCACTGGCGAGATGGCCGGTCGAAGTTGCGGCGGTTTGGCTCTAAACGAAGGAAGCACAAACTGGCGTGAGGGGATGGGAAAAAGCAGAACACCATCGGCCTGGAGGGAAAGACGGGAGGGCGGCTCTCGATATTATCTCTAAATTGGATCTTTGGCTCTCGAGCGCGTTCGGCTCCAAAAGCTGCTGAACTACTGCGCCCACGGGCAACGAGAAGCGTGGGACCCATGCAGGGCCGACCCATGGATGATTGGCGTGGCATCAGCAAGCCCACCCATGATGCATCGCATCCCGGCCCGTTCTCGAAAGCTAGCGGACAGGCCTAAAGTCCTAAACCACCCCGGACGGTCAGTCGATGGGGACGGCAGCACGGATCTGACCAGTGAGCCGGCGTCTTGTCACCAGGCCGCAGGAGCTGGGCAGGCTAGATAGGTCTGGGATGCAATATGCGGCAAGGTATGCGCAGGCGAGGCCGGGGATGGAGGGGATGTGCCAGTCGTGGACCTGTTCGAGGCTGGTCTCGAGCAATATTATCATTGGCTTGGCCCTGTGCCAATGCCTTTGCCATTGGAAGTCGCCGTGCTGCTCTTGAGTAATTTGATAGGTGTCTGGAGAGAATGACAGAGCACAAAGTCTCGATCTGTGATCCGAGCTGCCGGCTTGTCACTCGCGAGAGGCAACGAAAGGTGAGCAGGCCCCTGACGATCGCACTGAGAGCCTATACTACACAGTAAGAGCCTAGAAGGTACCTAAAAGTAGGTATTGACACCGCCTCGTCTGCCCTTGGATACTGGAAGGGAGCACGAAGAAAGTCCAGCCTCAGCACTAGAAGGCGACACGAAGGCCATGCTTGCTGCGATGCAACGACAACGACAACGGGTGTCGGCTTCGCTGGCGTTGGCTGGCGCCGCGTGCGATGCCGCGGTGCAATGCTGCAGTGACATGGTGGTATCTTTTATTGGGGATCGGCGGAAGTATGCAGGCTGCCAACGCCACGCCGTCCGGTGTTTTGGGGCACACTATTCCCAGCCAGGCCAAGGGTTGGAGCTCGAGAAGGTTCGGATGATTTTTGCTCGTTTTTCTGGCTGCCATTGTCTGCCTGTCCCTGGTGAGCCTGGCTTGAAGCAACGGCTTGAAAGGGCGGACAGACATGGAAGACTCGGCAGTGGCCCGAGCGATACACGATGTGAGGCTTGGAGGCGTCCGATGGCGCCCGGCGAGACGGACGGGAAGGAAACGGCTGGTCAATACGTTTACTTGTGGATAGATGGCGCGAAGCCCAACTGGCCATCAACGCAGGGCGTGATGGAAAGATGGATGGGCGAGTCTGAAGGGGTGTGATGATAAGGTAGTCAATGATGGGACGAAATTCAAGGATCGAGGGATTGACGGATTGCGAGTCGCCAGCTGGTGCAGCTCCGAGGCGTGAAAAGACACCGGCGATGAGAGATGGGCATTGCGAACCTGTATTCGTTCGTATTCGTCGTTGGATCTTCAGAGTGTAATAACACAGGAACAGTGCTAGGGACTGGGAAGAGCCCAAGTAGACGGGAGTGTTGGTGCCGGGATGATTCAGGTTGTGTGTGTGGGCGAAGAAATGCAGCGTTTTTGACGACTTTCCTGAAAGAGAAAGAGGCAGCAGGTACGTACCCACCCAAGATACGGTTAAAATGAGGCACCGTGGACCGTATCCACTTCTCACAGTACGTATCTCAGTACGTCCCTGTTCTTTGCCCCACATCACCACCTGCGCGCGCTGCGAGAGTGGCTCGGTCTAATCGCCGATGACCCGACAGACTCCACCAGCCCCCGCCATGATGTTTTTTTGCTGGAGTCGGCCCTCAATCGCCCTCCTTCTCTTTGTGCTCTCTGAATGCCTCCTCACTTCCTTGTGGCTGGTCTCCTCGTCCCTGTCGTCCATCATCAGCGTGGCAGTCTCCGAATCTCCATAATCCACAATCATCGCGCAAAAGTGGTTCGTGTTATGGTCCGAGATGTCCTTGTCTTTTAGCCTACCTTGCTCATGTTCATCTCTAGATACCTTGTACACAGTCCGAGAGTCGACCTTGGTGTTTGCTTGTCTATGCCAGCACCCGAATGATCCTCCCTCTTCGCTGCAGGGACCCGTGAAGAAGACCCCAAGGACTGGTAGCGAAACAGGGCCTCGTCGAACAAAGCAAGAAAAATAAAAACCTAACAAAACAGACAAGCAGATAACAATATCCCATCGAGCCTGAATCACCAACGGTTTGCCAAGCACACCAGCCAGACACACCTACGTAGTATACGGATACACAGTACGCATACGGCAGACATCTTCCCAAGAGTCAATACATGATGCCATGCCACCGGCTGCGCGTCTTACAGCATAAAGCAGGCTGCTGCTGCTGCTGCTGCACGACTGGCATTGCAGCCAATCCCCAAAAGCCAAGGCCTCAACGCTGGAAATAGCACTCTCCAAGTAACCTGACCTGCAGCTGCCCCTAATCTCCCTCAAGCCCAGCGCCACACACACGCGAGTCTGGCAGAGACAGGTCCATCTTGCAAAGACAATCTCGACATGCAATGCCAACGCCTTTGTTCCTGGCAAAAGTCTTCTCGGTGACTCTTGTCAGTTTATGGTGTCAGTTGTTCTTGCTGTAGAGTGAGTGAGAGTTCAGCGCCATCAAACTAACGACACATCAAGAGCCCAAGGCCCCATTCGTTTCAGGCGGCAGAGAGACACCAAACAATGCACTAACAGAATAGTACAGGTACCCACGACGCCAACGAAGGAATCCAGGAACAGATCGGACCTGAAGATGCCGCTACTCGCTAGCAAGACGCCACTTATGCAAACTCAAGCCCCTTTGCCTTTCGCCGTTTCTTTCTCGCTGCCCTCTCTGGCTCCTTGAGAAGCGGTGTTGGCAAACAATCAGACCGTCGCCCACGATAAGCATACAGCATACTCCGTACGGATGGACCGAAGGCATAAAGGTACTTCGCTAGCGCTTCTCGTATTCCACCCATCGCCGAGACGTCACCTGTCCTTAGCTGTTCGGCGTTCCTGGCTGCCGTATTCTTGCTTTTGTTCGCTCTATCTGCTGTTAGTTCCCACTGCCAGTATCTCTTAGAGCGTCAATTTCTCACCAATTCCCCATTGCCGGTCTCAGTTTGCGTATTCGTCGAACCCCCTAATTTGCGGTGTTTCCTCATCCTGTTCCTATTCTTTCTTCTGTGGCAGAGAGTCGCTATTGTCTTGACTCCTGTCTCATTGGTCCCCTATCATCCGCAATGTCTAAGGGTGTTCTTTTTCTGTCTTTCCCCCTTTGACTTTCCTCCGGCCGGACATGTTCCGCCCGGACAATATCCAGCGTCGCCAAGAGCTTGTCAAGCCTGACTTGCACTAGACCATTGATTCCGTGCCTGGGGTTTGCAGCCTGTCACCCAAAGAGACCTCACCGAGCGACCAATCTCGGTCAGCAACACAGTCAAAATCTGGTCTTTAAAGTTTGCCCGGTTTCCCACGACTTGCTAATTACAATGGGTGCTCCCACTACAGGATGATGATCTTTCTCTCATCAGGCCACACAATCTCACAAACCTCATCTCCCTGATGCACTGCCTTTTCTCGACCGACGCAGTCTCAGCTCCCCTACATCGCCTCAACCGAAGTTACCCAACACCACCCCGGCTCTCCGTCCTTCCCAAAATCGACAAGCACCAACAAACATCGGCACACCCGCACCACGGGCCGGACGGCACGGCGCCCGGCAGAAGAGAAGCGAAAAGCCACCCAGCACCACCCTACCAGCACTTCTACGAAGCACTTCATGGACAAGAGGCTAAGAGCCCAATCGAACGCCTCATCGCAACCCTCACCGCGTGGCGTTAGAACACTGACCAGTGACCCCATCAGGCCTTGCTTCTTATTAACTCGCAACGTGGTGTCGCTCAGACGCTGAGGTTTACGGAGGTGCTTGTCTGCCCTAGCGTTTCTGACTTTCTTCTTGTCGTCTTTTTCGTCACCTATTTTAGGTGCTTTCATCCCAAAGGGACGGATCGACCGGCAATCTCTAGCTAGGCTAGCTGAACAGCTGACACTTTGGGATGGGACCAGACCAATGCCAGAGACAAGCGACGACAGCTTCACACGCGTCCTTTCCGTCCCTGCGGTTGTGGCTGTCTTGCACGTTTGCTTGTGCACCTGTCTATCTCCTTGATGTCACGAGCTCTAGATCATAAACCGAGGTGGATAGAGATTTCCTGAATGGGCCAGTGCCGATTCAATCAGCCGACTTTTGCCGTAAGACGGGCGGCGTGGGTTGCAGAGTGCAGCACTGCAGACTGCTGCAGACTGCAGGCACCTTCACTGTCTGACCATGCGGTCAGCACAACCCTTGGAGGGTTGGAGCCTGCTTATCACAGCGTCTCACTGCCAAGTGCCTGGACCAAGTTGGAAGTGGCGAGTGAGCAGTAGATAGGCACTTTAGGTCCGGGTGTTTGATTGTTGGCCGTCCTTCTGACGATCTGATTATCTGATAGAAGGGGTATATCTCGTGGTCCATATGACTTCAAGACCTGCCAGAACTCATGGCCGGATCGTGCGTCCAACTTCTACCCTTGCATCCCTTACGATTGACTGGCGGGTGAATCTGAATCATCACGATTCACCCGGTGGGCGATCCGTTGGAAGAAATTGTTGAGTGAAGTATGGCGCGTCGCCTCTCGATGCTGCTGCAATGCCCACGTATCGTAGTGCTCCTCCCCCACCTCTTCCAGCAGCGACAGGAATCGGTCTTCCAAATCCCCAAAGTCCACGTTCAGATGTCCAGCCTCGGGGGCGGAAGGGAGCCCGCCACGGTAAAAGAATAGAGGTGCAAGCTGATCCAAACGCATCGCTGACCCTCGAAGCGGCCTATCCAGATGAGGGTCGCACTCCAGAGGCTCATCCTCCCGCGTCGGCCTGCTGAGATCCAGGGCTCCGAACCGCGTCAGTACGCGCTGCTCATCGACCAGGTTCGGGATGTTCTCGCCGCGGTTGAAAGGCGTGAGGAGCAACTCTGGGACGCCGAGGCGCTTCCACTGCCCTCCGAAGGGGAAGGCGTCCCAGTACATGGGTAGGATACGCTGCCTGACCATCATATAGTTCTTTTCCCAGTCTATGAACTTGATGTTGAGGGTTCCTATGGCCTTGAGGGAGCCGAGGAGGCGCGCCACGTCGTTGGCCTTTGCCCAGTGGCAGAGGAACGGCGCGTTCCACTGGCGCCAGAACTTTTCGGTGTCGAGGATGGGTTCACCTTGGCATCCTCGATTCTGGGGTATGTTAGTCGATATGATGTGACATGTTGAATCATGCTTGGATTCGGGACCATGAAGTTAGGCGGAAACGGAAAATCAAGTGAGAGTGTCGTGAACTCGAAAACATACTAGTGCACTTCGGATCTGGGTAGAAAGATAACGTACATTCTTGTCAATCATCATGAAGCGAAACCCGCTCGTCTTTCTAGGAACATGGTGTGGTGAATACCACGGCGCATCAGCCGGAAACCACGGCCCCCGAAACTCCACAAACACATTCTCAATCTTCTCCGCGTCTCGCAGCTCGTCGAACACGGGGTTATCCATATGATTAACATGAATATACCGCGGCGCCGGGAAATCCGCGCTCTTCACGCTATGCGACGCAGCGATGGTGATCCACTGGTCCTTGCGACATGTCGCCGTGATGCGGATGGTGAGGCAGGGTATCTCGCCCGCCTTGCTGCGGGGAAACAAGTGCGGCGCGAGTTCGCGAGCTGTTTGCTTGCAGGTGTTGATGAGGCCTAGGACGGGCTGCTCGTCGCAGTTGAATTCAAAGTCGACCGGGAGGGGCGCGACGACGAGGGCCCAGATTGTGTTGCGGAGCTCTGGGGGGAGCTGGAGGAGGGGCGAGTTCTGGGTGGTGGAGCCCATGTTTTGCGCCTGGTGTCAACTTTGTTATCAAAGATTTGGCTCAATTTGCTTTCCTCTCTGACATGGAGATATCACAAGATGCAAATGAAGCATCGTCATTTCACTCGTGAGTGAGCACCCAGCTTCGGTTGGGAGCAGATTGTGAAGGTCACGTGGCGGGCGGTCGCCTGCTGCTAGATCACGTGGGGGCTCTGCTGCCTGGAGAGACATCTCACAAGCAACTTCAAGAGCCACAGCATTGCACTAACTTCAAAGAACATCTGAAGACCTCTGTTTGCACAGACTGTTCCAACTTTGATTCGGATTTGTCTCGAACTTTTAGAGAAACCGTAGAAGTCAGATCGGATCGTGATGGACACCTTCCGTGTAGTTGCCAGTTGACTTGGACATCTCCCAAACGGCTTCTTCAACCTTGATAGTTGAGAACTGTCCTCAGTCTACCAGGATGGACAAAAAGCTAGAGTTTAAAGTTTCTGATTTATTGTTATGGACGCGAAGATGGGGGTACTTTGGGTTTCTCATATACCTCTCAAGGACGGGGCATTACTTGCTTGATATCCCAAGCGCTCTCTGACCTCAACAACAATAATCTTCGGATCACCCCGATATCGAAAACATATTCTCGCACTTTTTGACCCACAAATAATTCATTTTCTTCGATAACAAGATACTCAGACATCGCAAACATGGCCGAGACTTCTTTACTGGACAAATTACCGGGAGAAATCCGCAACAAGATATGGAAACTGATCTGCACCCCGCCACCATGCCCGCCAAACCGAGAGAGGTCCGGGCCGACAACAGGCATCCTCAGCTGCAGCAAACGCCTCTCGCGAGAATTCTCCTCATCCCTCCTCCACCAAAACTCAAATGGCGAAATCCCGGATCTCACCATCGTCATCACGACTACGTGTCGAAGAGACGCCTGGCTATCGTTGGCAGTCGAGCCCGAGTGCACAGTGCCCGAAAAATGTATTCACTTCTACGAGCGCATCGACAAAGCGCGATGCTTCGACGTAAATGACATGGACAACCCAGTCTTTGATGTCCTCCGCGAAGCAAAACAGATCAATATGGTTCACGTCCGCTTCGACGGCCCCTGGTTCGTCAACGAGGCACCGTTGTATTCGCTGCCGGGGACGCGCAGAGCTCGGTTTGGAGAGGATCCGATTTACGATGCAGAAGCCTTCTGGCGGCAGTGGGATGTTCCGTTTCTTTGTCACTGGGCTAAGGCCCGGGACGTTGCTCGGCTACTCGGGTCGTTTCGAGGATCGGGGAGATGGCGATACACTTCAATGATTGGCGTCGGGATAGTCGTAGAGACGGGAAGAAATATTGGCATGCAATACCGTTCTACACTTCCATCAAGGACTCGGAACTGTAGAATGCATTTTCTACGGGGACGCGGATGGGACGAATTTGCTGAATATCGATTTTTTCGAGTACAAGTCCTTGTTCGGCATCATTACGTTTCCCACGAAAAAGAATCCCGACGGGGGACTGATTACCCGCTATCATCATGACGATGGGTTGGCTGATCACCTCGAGGGGCTTGGGCCGATCAAGAAACCACAAACTCTTGAAGAAGCCCCCAAGCACCATGTAAACCGCCTCTTCGCCGCGTTTACATCGCTTTTGGAACAACAGAGTGACGACATATACGATATTTGGGCCCTTCGAGAGCACCGAGCGGCGACATCGAATTCGTCGGCCAGGAACTTTTTTCATCGAATGCAACGTCAAGAAGGTACCCAATAGTTCAAGTTCAAGTAGGATAATGACAAGATCACAGGACTCTGTGAAGAATCGCGGTCTACGACCGGTGTGAAGAGCATGAACGATAGCGTGCATGTATTTGGATACCCTCGTTTCCACGTGCACAATAGACAGTCCGCCTGCCTCGTTCAGGCATGCTATTCATGTCGCCAATCCTCATGCAGCGGTCACATCTACGTTTTCGGACTTCTACCCAGCGGACGAATACGCGATAACCAATCCGACTTTCCTCATTGACGGGCATCCATGTTAGCTCCGCAGTACAAAGCGGACCGCAGCCCGGAATGCAACGTTGTTAAACCCGCTGTCATCCTTAGCTCGCTTACGTTCCACAACATCGCCTGGCTTGCATCAAGTCGTCTCCTCGTGATGCGGGGGGCATCGAGGGCTTGTAAAAACATCGTGGGAGAGGTAAATCGTAGCAGAGTTTAGAGAATTGCAACATTTCTGGGCTTCCATCTCACTTTTTCGTGAAGATGAGTTTCATCCCCGAGGCTATCACGCCGACGTCCGTCCTGTCGTGGCAGTGTGCAGCTACGCTCCTTGTCATATGGATCACCTATTGTCTAGGGCGCGCCATCTACAATGTCTCGCCTCTACACCCCCTTAGCAGGTTTCCTGGCCCCAAGTTAGCTGCTGCATCGTATGCCCCCGAATGCTGGTACGATTTCGTGATGAAGGGGCGGTACACCTATGAGATTGTCAAGATGCACCAAATTTACGGTATGTGATTCTTATTGTCGTAAGACTCAACCTCCCTTAGATACATCAGCCAATGGGGAATAATCTAGGACCCATTGTCCGTATCAACCCTGACGAGGTGCACTGCGACGACGTTCGCTTCACCGACGAAGTATACGCCATCAACGGGAGAAAACGAGACAAGCATATCCACCACATGATCAACCTACCAGACCCGTATAACTCTCACCAGCACTTCTCATGCCTTTAGCTTGCTTGCCTCTGACTCCCATCACAGCGCGACCTTCGCCACATTTGGCACGATCGACCACGATCTCCACCGCAGACGGCGAGCCGCCGTCGGCAAGTTCTTCTCCCGGCAGCAGATGCTCAAGCTCGAGCCGCAAGTCCACGCATCAGCGCAGAAACTCTGCGACAAGCTCCTTTCGTGTGCTGGTGCGGATGGCGAGGTCGTGCCTTTGCAAGACGCTTATAGCTGCTTTACGACGGACGTGATTACCGAGTACTGCTTTGGCGAGTCGTTTGGATTTCTTGAGCAAAAGGAGTGGACGCCTAATTATCGTTCGGCTGTTTATGGGGCACTGGTTCATACGTTCCTATTCAAGTTCTTTCCGTGGACGAAGATCGTTATGAATGCTGGGCCGTAGTAAGTGCAGTTGCATACCTGCAGGAGCGAGAGTTATCAATAACAGCTGACTTATCTAGTCTCAAGAATTACCTACCTAGGGACACGGCCATCTTTATCAATACCTACGCAGTAAGTTCACTCTGGTTCCTTGGTCAAAATGTATGAAAGACCTCCGAGAACGGCGATTGATAAATAAGCACCACAGACCGTCATCCCAGCCCTCGTAGAGAAGGCGAGAGACCGCAAAGTGACAGGTACAGATATATACCAACACTCGCCCAATGTCTTCGCCGCCTTATTCGACTCCGATCTCCCGCCCGAAGAAAAGACGGTTCTACGACTCACGTCCGAGGGTGCCATCATGATAACCGCGGGAACGGAAACAACAAGCTACACACTGACGATGATCAGCTTCCACCTCCTATCGAACCCCAAAATCTTGGCAAAGCTGACGCGAGAACTTCAAGGGGCGGTCAAGGATCCGAAACACCTGCCAAACTGGCCGACGTTGGAAACACTGCCATATCTGAATGCTGTCATCTCTGAAGGGCTGCGGCTTGCGCCCGGTGGATCGATGCGTACTGGCAGAGTCGCTACCGAAGAAGATCTCGTCTATCGCGGGAAATGGAGGCCTCAGGGAGCGGAAGTTGATGTGGATGTGTGCCATGTCATTCCACGCGGATGGGCGGTAAGTATGAGCGCCATCATCTCACATCTCGATGAGAGGATGTTTCCGAACGCCAAGGAGTTTATACCGGAGCGGTGGATCGATGAGAATGGTCAGAGGAGGAGGGAATTGGAAGCTGGGTTCATCCCCTTTTCCAAGGGAACGCGACAGTGTGTGGGAATGCCGTAAGTTTTTGACTACCCCTTGCAAATTCCTTGTTCACCTGTACTGACCTTCTGCGTAGGCTCGCATACTCTGAGTTATATATCGCTTTGACTTCGTTGGTGCTGAGGGTCTTTCCGCGTATGAAGCTGTACGACACTACTTTGCGCGATGTTGAGTATGACCATGACTTGGGCGTGCCGATTCCCGCGACCGAGAACGGTGTGAAGGTCAAGATCATTTAGTCTGTTAGAATAATTGAGGATGAACTATCAAGTAAATGTATTTGTTGAGCATGTAAGGTGAATCGCTTATGGACTTCTATTCCCACGGGCCAGTTGAGTGAAACTACATCACCAAACTATCAATTAAACTTAGAAACTCACAGTCTTTGTGATTGACTACCTAAATATAGCCAAATCCCATCCTCAACATTCACTCAATCCATCTCCCTGCATTTTTCAAAACAAAGAACTGCAACCTTGGCTTAATTCTCACAACATTCTCCGCTCCACCGTCTCTTTAACCGACTGTTCAAACTGAAATTCCCCAGTCTATCTAACTTTCTTCATCATGAAGCTTAACGTTTGTGTTGTTGTGGGGTTGACTGCCATCTGTCAAGCCGAACAGCTCTCAGTAATCCCCATCAATGAGACGACATGTCACTCTCTTCCGAAGGCTTCTTCGATTGAAGTCATGCCTAAAAATGTGACTACAGCTCACTCAACTCTCAAGCCTTCGTCAATTGGAGTCATTCCCATCGACGTGGTGACAGGCCACTCCCTCCTCAAACCCTCGCCAAGCCAAGCCCCATCCAACTACACATGCACGCATGAGGACACGAACAAACCAGCCACCGACAACCGCCCGGCTGAAGTCCCGTACTGGGGCTTTAAGCAAAGCTGCACCGAAATCCACGGCGACGGAGGCGAAGCAGCAGTTATTTGGGCCTGCTGCGACACGACCCACGGCTACGGCATCCAGAATCGGTTTCGTCTAGGCCAGTGTATCGAGAACGCGCGCGGGAAGCTAATCCCGCGCAAGAATGGGGGTTTCTGGCGCACGTGTGAGGATTGTGGGCTCAAGGATCCAGAGAGGCCGACCGTGTATAGCTGCAAGTGCTGGCCTATGCCTAGGCATGGGGCGAAGCATGAGCGTGTGGAGGCTGAGATCGAGTTGGTAAGTCACGGGGAAAAAGGTTTTAAGGAGTGATGATATGATTTTGGTGCTAAAGATATGTGTAGAACGACTTTATCGGTAACGACCATGGCAAGTTGGTTTGCTTCGGCGTCAGGGAACAGCGCTACTGGGGAAATTGCACCAACAACTTTCCTTGGGATAAGTAGACTTCAAGATAGCAGATAGATACACTAAGTTTACTCATTAAGACTCATAAGCGTGAAAAACCTTTGCGATAATTTTCCAACCCCCATCAACCTTGATCAACGTGTGAAAGTCTGTGTAGGCCGGTCCGTCAGGGGTGTTCTCCATGTCTACCTTGACGACGGCAGTCGTGGGTGTAAGACCAATGATGTCGCAACGGGTCTTGAGGGACGCGCTTGTGCCGTATGTGTCGAAGAATGCGTGAAGGTTAGTGTATGAGCCTACTGAGAGTGTGCCATCGGCTGGGGCCCAGCCGGTCATTGTTGCGTCCCTGTGGAATGCGAGGTCTAGGAGGGCGCGATCTGCTTTTGCGACCCTGTCGACGTAGTGTTGGACTGTGTTTATAACTTCGTCGTATTCTGACGTTGGAATTGTCTTGATGTTTTTGGACATTGGTAAAGGCTGGTGTTTTGGATGTTTGAGGTTCGGGGACTTGGTGATCACACGAGGTGTAGTTAATTATCCAAGCCTTTGTGTTTGGGCCTGACTTCTGTACACCACTTGGCGTTTCTTTTAAATACCGGAAGTATAGACTGTATCTTCTTTTAGACTAGGTTTGCGCAACCAGCTGGAGGTGCTTTCAAATCAAGCGCCGTGGAATTCCACATAAGGTAATGTTCTTTTCATGCCAAGGAAAGCACCTTGATGGTACCACAACGAACCCCGCTGAGGCCGTGGAGCAGCTGCCGATTGTTTGGTGTTCATCCGCGGAAACCTGCCAAACCGGAGAAGGACAAGAACCACCTCCACGATGTGCTAGAATACTTCAAACGAGTGTCGGTACTTTCTGAGCCTAAGTTACAGCCAAAGGAATATTTCACTCGCTCGAGAGAATATATCTTGTGTAACTCCACAGAGTTGCGAGATAGTGATTAATGGAAAAGGTTAAGAGATCAATAGGTATTTCGACAATTAGGCGTGTTTACGGAAGCCCACAAAGCCTTGGAGGCCATGTCATGATTTGTACAAGTACCTCTCTCGCATCCCTCAGTCGAATACCACATGGGCGGTCATACAACATACGAGGATCATATGGCTTGGCAAGTTAACCCTTCTTCAAGAGAATCCATCAATGGCCACAGGTACCGTCAGAACGTCCAGACACATGGGCTAAGGTAATGTTGGATCAGGATTAAGACTTCTAGACTAGACTGGAAGGATCAAGACTTACGTCTGCATTCGGCGTTGAGACAGCAATCACTACTTCCAACAGTACAATCGCCTGTTATGCAAGTAATTAGTCCGCCAGGATGGGTCGAGGCCATCGTCATCTGTGATGGCACGAAGGAAACCTACCGCCAGCTGGCGTGCAAGCTAATAGAGGGAATCGAATTAGCAAGGGTTCAAAAACTCTTAAGATAGTGGATGAACCCTAGGTAGTTGCCAACTTACCCAGAGAAGATGCGACGAGAGCGCTCATAATCGTGAAGATGGAGAAAATGTTGACCTGCATGGTGTCCTAGGTTTCGTATCGAGCTTCTTGTCGAAGGCGGGTTGTAGGGCAGGTTGAGGTCAATAGCAAAGGCTCTTTACAAATATTTGTGATCCCGCTTACTACTAGAAGCTTTACTTGGCAGACTAACCGCCCTACTTATAGATGTGAGAACTGCCATTTCTTCCGCATCCACATGTTCGGAAAGAGTGGACTTGAACATGCTCGTTAGAAGGCATTATGTTGACTCGAGTCATTGGTTCGTGAATTGACTTTCAAACGGGGTGGATAGCTTCATGATTCAGTGGACAAAGGTACTAGGGAGTCACGGAGAAAAGCGCAAGCATCATCGCGTATGGGCCAAAATCCCTGGGGTCTATTGGCGAATAACTGACCTCGGTCTCGCATAATTACAAGTACGGACACAATGACCTCGTCAGAATGGTGTGTAGAGTTTCAACCGCGTAATACGGGAAACCTTAATAGATGGAATTAGGCAATTGGACTAATGGCACTTAGGGAGTACAATCTCACTGTGAAGCCCTAGGTACGGAGACTTAGTTGAGGATCTTGTCTGCAAATACAATCCCGATCGGGAACTATTTCTCGCCCGATTTAGCATCTCGTTACGTTTATGTGATCACAACACCACTGGCGCCGGTTATAATCTTTGGTAAGAAATGAGAGCGTCGTCTCAGGTGTCTCAGTAAGGTCTCTCAAACTTCGCCATAAAAACCATGAGCTCCTGAGGACGGTCCTGAGCCATCCGAGATGGTCTTGCATATATTGTAAAAGAGCATCAACCATCAAAACTTTGCACCTTCAAATTCAAACTTGAGAAGATGCCGTAGTTAAAATTATAGTCATCGTACTGACATCTTGCCGTTGTATTCAAAGTGTACATAAAGTGAAATTCGCCGACAGCCTGGCATAAGGTAGGTGAGTAAACACACAGCATACTAGCTTGAATAAACACACTCCGCACTTTTAGTTCTGAAGAGGGTTGGAAGCTAGCGTACGGACTAGTGGGTTGCATTTAAGACAACACGTCCAGACTACTCATTGGCACTTGACGAGCGATGCAGCCATTGTTTGGGGGAGATCCGAAATATGGAATCGCAAGTTTGCCCAAACGTCTCCTGGAATTATTAAGTTTTTGAGTACTTCAGCTTCAGAATGATATCGACAAACACGTCTATAGGGGAGTACTTTGTGCAAAACATGTAGACGGAGGTAGGAACATATCAAGTGAAATCTGGCAACGAGGTGAGAAAGGATTTAGAAAGAGAAAATCATCATCTAGATACCATCAATACCTGATGTAGGGAAAAAGAAAAAAAAATATTGCACGACCTAGGGCGTGAAGAAACAATTGTAGATGGAGGCGCGCCGCGAGTTCATACATGATCTGGTTAATGGCGGCGAGGATTTCATGATGCGCGCCAAAGAGGTGCACAGTTCAGTCATCCGACATACATGTATTGTGGATATTAAAGCTCTCGGCGCTTAAGAATCAAGAACCAAGAACTCCAAAACTTCCGTCGTTAGTATATACCCGCATCTCCGATACTCAATCTTTCCGCACTTAAGCACCTTACCTTTCACGAGCCACCACGTTTTCCAATACCATTTCCTGTTTTAATCATTACAACCTCAGCCTCGGCGTCTCAAAATTCTTGCATCCTATTTTGTGACCTCGACAGGAACTACAACCAAAAATACCCGAAAAGTTCAACGAGATGGACCGCCAGTGTCCCCAAAGCAATGCACTGCATAGAAGTTCCCTGGAGAGACTCCCACCCGAATTACTTATGGAAATTTGCAAAAGCCTAAACGGCGTATGTTCTACAGATTCGCGTCACTTCGGGAAACCCCTCAAAAGTCTTGCGTCACTCTGTCGAGCATCCAAGCTTTTGCACGCTATTGGAACAGCTGTGCTCTATCAGCGATTTCAATTTCGGATCAGCAGAGAGGAACCCAGCTTGAGAAGACTGATACAATTTATATTGACGACCCAGCGGAATTCTCTCCTGGCTGGGCATGTGAGAGACCTGACTCTTGAGATACATAATGCAGACTATCTGAGCTACCGCCGAACGACTGTCCACGAATCATCAAGAAACCTAGACTTGAAACTTGTATCGTTGGCACCCACGCTTCGAATGCTCCGGTATTCCACCTCGACCTTGCAGTTCGCCATTATTCTAGCGCAGTACCTTATCATACGGCTGACACAACTGAGAAGACTATCAATGAGGTCTCATTGTCCTAGCTCAACGCACATAGTAGGTAATTGGGCCTATCTTAGGACAAATGGACGACCAGGGAGCTTGCCACATTTACGAATCGTGGCAATCCAAGCAATGGAAGCACCCGCAGCATCCCAAAAATGGAGCTCTAGTATTTTACAAGCTCTTTGTCAAATCGCGCCAAACATCACCTATTTGGATACTGAGCTGGTTATACCGTTGCCAACATCTATCGACATGGCAAACGCAACCTTTCACCTGCGCAACATTGAATACCTCAATCTAAACGGGACAGAGATAGGATCTGAGATGCTGTCTTCATTGGTCAATTCCTGTGGACCACTGAAAGGTTTCAAGTATCGACCAGCCACCTGGAACATGTATGGATGGCGTCCTCGGACGCGAGAAACTGCCAATATCACCGCTGGGTCGATACTAGATGCACTCAGACCTCACGCAAATACGTTAGAGTCTTTGGAACTAAACATTATGGAAAATGTCTTCCGTTCAGGCCGTCGGGAGCAGCTGGAATCCATGCGACATTTCGGAACTCTCACATACTTGGGACTGGATAGCTTCTGCTACGACGGACGACAGTCCCTAGGCAACATTCTCCCAGGCAGACTGGAGACTATAGAAATCACATGCATGCATGAAACGATGCATGAAGATGTCTTGGAGCTGGCGCGTTTAGCCAATTGGCTTCCCAACCTCCACACGGTTAATTTATATCCTTGGCCCAATAGCACGAGCTGCCCTACGAGTATTCTCAAAATCTCGACCATTGCTGAGAAATTTCGACAAAGAAACGTAGTATTCTCATTCTCTCACGGAACTTATCTCAATCGCGCATCCAAATGGGGGTGTGCCAGTTTTCTAAACCGCTTGGCCCCGTGGTACCCTCCCCACGGACAGCTTGAGACAACAGCTTAGCTAGAAAACGATTATCTGTTTGGGAAGCACTGATGGAGAATAGCCCCGCTTCATAGCCGCCGAGCCGAATAAATATGATGATTTATCTACAACTGACTAATCACTTTGTCCTCATCATCCATGGTATAGACTATACACAATTATTGAGGCAACATCGGTCCTAAATGGTATTGGTAGTTGGGTAATCGGGATGAATTGGTTGAGCTGATAATTGATAGAAATCATGGCCCAATACAGCTTGTTCATAGATTTGAGATTTAATTGCAACAATATCTTCATGTGAAATTACAAATAGGGGCTAATGAAATCAGCAGAGAAGTGTATGTTGAGCTCCAAACGACCAGAATCGCAAATCCAACCCTTTCCGATCACCTACTTCATGAAAACTTTCAATCACGGAAATACCACCAAAGGGCCTCGAACCCTCTTTTCAGAGGTGACCATTGACACACAACTTGCAGTTGTTTGACTAGAGAGTTTGTAAGCCTTCTGACTGAACCGAGAACGATCGAGATAACTAACAGCTGACAAAATGGTGGCTACAACAGCGGCTGAGCATTTGGAATCTTCCTTCACATCTGTTTTCAGATTCCAGATTAGCAATTGGCAAGAAGGATTGTTTCTCGCTGTTGTTATTGTTTCACCCTGAGTACCTGGTTAAGGTGCTGTCGGAGGCGTGAATCCGAGTAAATAGAGGGGCGACATCACGATGGAAATGCTTACCGAGTCCGCGAGCAGCGATCGCCCACATGCAGGTGACACCACCCGGGGTGACAGAT